CCTTCAGAAAGGAAAAGGGGGGTATTTTCCACCAATTCCCATTCCTGGTGGGATGAAGGTTGTCTCTGGGGGCATAAAATGCAGATCTTTTCCAAGCTGTTCTATATAGACCTTTAAAAAGCTCCCAGGCCCCAGAAAGAGCCTTGAGGCTGGAAGTAGGGAATCAGGCAGGTGTTCAAGATGGGTGCATACCTGGGGTGAGATGGGAGAGGAACAATCCATCGCTGCCCACTCAGAGGAAGTTCAGGGGGCTGTGGGATCGAGGCCTCAGCTCCACAAGGCCTAAAAGACTGTCTCAGCTGCTACTTCCTGCAGTCACCACCTGCCCCAGGCAGACAGGCCTCCTTCCCCAGCAGCCAACCAGGACAGGTCCTCTCTCTTCACACCACCAACCTCTGAAGCAAACACCAGTCCTTTCTAGGTTTTTGGACAGGGTGTTTGTTTTTTTTTGTTTGTTTGTTTGTTTTTGTCTTTGTATGTTTTTACTACTAACAGCTTACAAGTCATATTCTTAAGGACATTACAAGTTGCATGAAAGCCTTGGAATTCTCCAGGTGATCTTCTCGTTCACTGGACAACAAGACGGGCCTGCTCTGCCATGGCTCCGGTCTTGCTCCTGTGCTGGTTCCCCTCTTCATTCCAACCTGAGAGACAGCTCTTCTCAACCTCCCAGCTCTCTTGACTTCAGGGTACCATGAGGAGCCCCCACTCCTACCTCTACCAGGAGGTAGACCTTAGACCTTACCTGGGAGAGGGAGCAGGAAAGTGCATATAGGGGATCCACAGGGTATCACTTGGATTCTGAAGGAAGTCCAGGATGTGTTTCTAATTCTGTCACTCCACCTTCTATCTCACAGGGGCATGTGCCACCAGGAGTCCAGGAAGAAACAAATGTCCCTGTGTTCCAGACTCTGCTTTTAACAACTAGACATCTACATTTCACTCTACATGTAAAGAATGAGCTCATTCTATTTGGCCAAATAATATGAAACCTTCCTTTAAGACTTTGTTTTCTTTCTTTCTTTCTTTCTTTCTTTCTTTCTTTCTTTCTTTCTTTCTCCCTTTTTTTTTAAATTTTTGTACCAAGGATTGATCCCAAGGGTGCTTCACCACTGAGCCATCTCCCCAGCCCTTTTCTATATTTTATTTAGAGACAGAGTCTCACTAAGTTGCTGAGGCTGGCTTTGAACTCACAATCCTCCTGCCTCTGCCTCCTGAGCCACTGGGATTACAGGTGTGCATCACCGTGCCCAGTAAGACATTGTGTTCTTATTGTACATACTGAAATTAATGAACAATGCGCCATCAAATGAAGGTGGACAATCCCAGAAAACACAATAGCTTTACTTTTCACATGCCACCTTGTGAAGGCAAAACTGCCCTTTAGGATTGAGTCCTGAAGATGATATTTTAGAAAACTAACAATGAAAACTACCAAGTTCAAAAGAAAACAAATAAAACTGACCCTTAGCAACAACATAAGCTGACAAATGGACTAGGCATGTCAAAGTCCAATTTAATTCTCAATAGGTGAAGAAAAGTAACTTAGTCATCAGAAGTTAATGATCTATATTTTACTTCCCAACCATGCATCAAAATGCACACTTCCCTAGGTAGGTCTTAATGTTCTTCTGAAATCATGAAATCTAGCCTCACAATAACATTCTCATGGTAAATTCCAGCATAAGGAAGAAAACAGACCTTACCAATTAGGGCATAAAAAATGAATCTTACAAGACAAAACATGTTTGTTGAAATATATGTTGCTCCAACATAAAGAAGGAAAAAATGTCCTTCAGTCTGACTTAATTGGCATTGCTTTTCCTGTTCCTAAATTTTTTTTAGAGAATTCTCCATTGTATTATATATAGTATTTTCTGGAGGCACAAAAGTTTAGTCTGTTCTTTTTAAAAATAAATGTTCCTTGAAGTTCACTTTATTTTATTAAATAAAAATTACCAGCTGGGCATGGTGGCACATGACTGTAATTGTAGCAGCTCAGGTGGCTGAGGCAGGAGGATCACTAGTTCAAGCCAGCCTCAGCAATGTCGAGTCCCTAAACAACTCAGGGAGACCTTGTCTCTAAATAAAATACAAAAAAAAAAAAAGGGCGGGGCTGGAGATGTGGCTCAGTGTTTGAGTGACCCTGACTTCAATTGCCAGTACCAAAAAAAAAAAAAAATGTACCACTGCCTCAAAGATGTATCAAAATGAAGCAGTTAACTCACTTAAAACTCATAATAATCTATGAGGTACACACAATCATCTCATTTCATAAATGTGGAAACTGAGGCCGAGAGCAATTGTGGAAGACCACATGGTGAGTAAGGAGTGCATCGGGCACAGACTGAGTCAGGGTGACTCTGGGACCCCATTGCCCACCACCATCAGAGCAGCCTCAGGACACAGGTTGGGGGTGGATGCAGAGCATGAGTATTCATTCATGCCATGGCTAAGGTCTGTCAGCAACCAGAAAACTACTAAATTATTCCTATATTGATGTTTTCTTAATTTAACTGTCTTAATTAGCTGTTTTTCAGTACATCAAAGGATGCTTTCTAACATAGGATATTTTTTTGAGTGTGTGTGATACTGGGCATTGAACCCAGGGGCTCAGTGAGCTGCACCCCCAGTCTTTACCCTCCATCTTTATCTTTCTTTTTTGATACAGGGTCTTGTTAAGTTACCCAGGCTGGCCTCAAACTTGTGACCCTCCTGTCTCAGCTTCTCTGATAGCTGGGTAAAGTAGGGTTTTTAAAAAGAGCTTTAAGGAAGAAAAAAAATGTAAGTCCAGCAGGCCTGGGTATGTTCGACATGAATCATTTTGGTGAATTAAAATTCCCTGTTAAGTACAGATGTCCTCAGTTAGAAAGTGAGATAGTGGGTAAATCGAGATCATTATAGGCAAAATCTACTGAATTAATGTTAGAAGTTAGCTATCAGCTGTAATTGAAATTCAGGTTATAGTCTTTTGACCCAGGAATGATCCCCCTTGCAGCAAGACTCTTCAAAACAGATTTGGGTGTTAGATGCTTTAATTCTTACATTCTCTCTTAATCCTCCTAGGAGCAGGCTTTCAATCCTGTGAGTAATTGTAAACAGTCCTGAAGCAAATGAAAAAATATATAAAATTTCAAAAATAAATAAAAGACAGTATGTAATCATGGCCGTTTTATCTTTTAACTGTATCTGAGATCTAACCACCCAGTTCCACTGCCATTCATGTCATCTTTCCATGGCTTCCTGCATCCTCTCCTAACTGGCTCCCTCACATGCCCCACCACAATCCTCAACAGGACATACAGAGAAATTCTTTTAGAAACAAATCAGATCATGTCATTCTTGGGCTTGAAACCTTGTTATGGCTCCTTCTTCACTTCCAAGCCAAAGTCCTCACCATCTCCCGTGGGGTCCTACACTATCCAGCCCCACCCGTTCTCTCTCTGACCTCTTCTCCCACCACCTTACCCCCTTACTCTGCCCCAGCCACTCTTTCCTCCAAGCTGTTCCTTGTATGTTCCAGACAAGTTCCCAAAGTTCCCTTCTCTGGGTGGCAGACATTTACATAATTAACTTCTTCACCTGCTTCAAGTCTATGCTTAAATCTCACCTTCACAATAAGCCACACACTACAGTTGTTCCTAGGACTCGTGACCCCCTTCTCCTATTCTACTTTTGAATTTTCCACACCTCTTAACAGTGTCAAATATACTATATGGACTTATTATGTATATTTTTATTGACTGCTCCCCCAACTGGAATATAAGTGCCATGAGGGAAGAAATTTCCATCTCTTGTTTCCTGATAAAATCAAATGCCTATAACATTGCCTGGGACATAAATAATTGTTGAAAGGATAGGATGAAACAAATGGGAGGTACTCCCTGGTCTGAAAGAGGAAATAAGAAAGTGCAAGAAAACTTCTTAGTGCCCTGCTACACAATGGAATTACCACAAACTTAATGGCTTAAACAACACATATGTATTATTTCACTGTAAGATTCATGCATGACTGGATTCTCCACTCAAGGTTTTACTCAAGGTCAAGGCTGCAATAAGGTGCCTAGAATGACTTGCTTCTAAGTTTCCACGTGATATTGGCACAATTCAGTTCCTTGTGGTTAGAGGACTGAGGTCCCTGTTTCCTTGCTGGTAGTTGGCTAGGGGCCACCATAAGGTCCTTACCACATAGTGTCTCCATGGTAAGTTCACAACATGACATCTTGGCTCTTCAAGGCTAGCATGGATCAAATCTCTTCCTGTAGGAAGGGCCCAGTCCCTTCTTAGAATTCCCCTAATCAGAAAGATCCACCCAAGAAAATCCCCTTTTTGATCAACTGACTTGGGTTTTAAATGAATCCACAAAATCCCTTCATCGTTGCCACAAAATGCCTCTGATCACAAGAGTAGAATCCACAATCAAGGCAGAAGGGATTGATTATCCTGGATGTATGCACCAGAGGCAGCCATCCTGAAGACCTTCTTAGCTTATTAGAGGAAGATAGGCCCGAAGCCTGGTTCCCTTATGGACCAGCTGGCCAAAGTCCTAAGCTATGGTAGTCAGTGTTCACGTCGCCAGGATTTCCAGGAAAGAAAATGTTATAAAAATATCTCTGCCACACCCAAGTTCATAGCAGCATGACTCACAATAGTCAAAAGTTGGAAGCAATCCAAGTGTCCATCAATGGATGAATGGATAAACAAAATGTGATCTATACATAGAATAGAATGTTATTTGGCCTTAGAAACGGGGGAAATTCTGACACAGGCTTCTACATGGATGAAACTTGAAAGATTAGGAAAACTGGAATAAGCCAGTCACAAAAAGGACAAACATTGTACGACTTTATTTATAAGCAAATGTTAAAGTCAAAGGCTTAATAATGATTAGTGAATTAAAACTGAAGTTCATTTCTTATGATAATTATTGTCATGTCAGAAATCACCTCAGAAACAGTGACGGAACTAATATTTCTGTTCCAATCGAAAGCGAAACTCACCTGACCCAGATCCAGGGTGAGGTTGACTTTGTTGTACTGTGTGCCTGAGGACAGAGGAGGGCTTTGCCACCAACGTTCGGATCCATCAATTGCATTGGTGGCTGGATGTGCTCTTCTAGAATCTTCAGAATTACAATAGTCACAAAACTGACCCTGAAAAACAAAACACCCTTCTTTAAACTTTCAAGCAATTTTTTTTTTTACCAATTTAGCAAAAAATTAACTAAAAAAAAAAGATCATTCCATACATCTTATTGATGTCAGCTGTTGGAGTTTATCATAATATATTCTTGGTGAAATCTCCCTCTTTTATTTAATCTTAAACCATGTCATCTGGCCATCATCTAGGATATAAATTATATTTACCTTGCATCCTTTACAGTTATGTTTTTCTTGCCCCGCACAATAATTTAAGAAGAGCCTGCTGTATCTGGAATGCAAAGATGTTTCCACGTCAACAAATTCATCTCACTCTTTAAATCCTACTCTTTGCAATTCTGTTTGAGGCACCGAGTTACAAAGAGGATCACTGCATGGTCCCAGCGGAGGTATTAAGTATATAAATAACCATTAGGGAAGTGGGGATGGCAAGTGTCTCTGCAGAGTACCGAGTGTTGGGGTCAAGGGCTACAGATATCCCAGGGTGGAAGAGATGGTGCTTAAGCTGTCTGGGAGGATAGGAAGGGTTTTGGAAAGTGACAGTGAGCATCAAAGAGGGAAAGTGTTCCAGGTAGAGGAAACAGCATGAGCAAAGGCACAGAGGTCAGCTGGTCCAAGGCTTAACAGTTCAATGGGGAGAGGTGGCTGGCTGTGAAGAATCGAGTTGAGAAGTCAGCAATTCATTCAATAGGTAAATTGGAACCTATTTTTCTTTGGGTGATGTCTGTTTGGTATTATAAACTCTAATTCCTAACAAAATTACTCTTTCTTTCTTTTTTGTTTTTTGTAGACAGATTATATTGATTCTGGCTTTTTTTCTTTTTTTGTTGTTGTTGTTTGTTTGTTTTTGCAAGAATTTTATTACCAATTACCATCTAAAAAACTGAACCTAACAACAAATCACACTGTTATGTATTAATTACAATGCACCAATAAGGAAAAAAACAAGCTGAACTTACGCCTCTCTTCTAGGTTGAATATACTTTAACTGGGTCAAAGGACCATGCTTAGCCAAGGTAGGATTCCACATACTGAACTATTCTGCTCCCACGTAGATAAAGACAGAGAAACAAACTCACAGCCTGCTCTAGAATGTGCTGCATAGTAGCAACAAAGAACCAGAAAATTAAAGAAAAAAACACCATTTCCTATTGTCTTGAAACACAATAAGATAATTACAAAATGTATATATAACTGTGAAGGACTCAGAAAAGTTCAGATATTGCTGAAAAGAGAGTCCAGAGAGAGAGTAAGACATTTTTCCCTTCAAGGTATCAGGGCTTATTATGAAGCTATTGTAATTAAGGGAGGAAAGATAAGAAAATAGAACTTTGGGATAGAACAGAGCACCAGAAAACAGTCCATTGCACTTAAGAAATCTTAGCATATTAAAAAAAATGAGCAAAAAATAAGAATTGTTGGGAGAAGGAAGGATAATTCTCTATCCCATATATATTCTCTCCAGATCTAATAAAATTGGATGTCTACCCAAGTCACAAACACAAAGCAACTTCAGATGCACTAAAAACTCAAATGTCAAAAATAAAACATTAAATTCTCTTAGAGGAAATCATGAATATCCTTGAGAACTTGGAGCAAGGGATGTTTTCTTCAGATACAAAAGAATACATAGATAAAATTAACTATATTAAAAATAAGAATTTTGGTTCATTGAAGGTACTTTAGAGAAGTGAAAAGTTACAAGTAGAAGAGATTCACCCTATAGAAGTGGTCAATAATCCCCCATAGTGGTTCCAATCAATGTCTTAGCAATTCCTTTTCTCTCTCTATATGGTGGCTACTTCAACTACAAAAAGATGAAAGGCTATTTTCCCTGGAGGGTACTCTCTCCTCTTGAGAATTTATCATAATATGTTCTTGGTGAAATCTTCCTCTTTTATTTAATCTTAAACCATGTCACTTGGCCATCATCTAGGATATAAATTATATTTACTTTCTTTTAGCAGAAGTGTTATTCTGGGACATCCATGCATAGGCCTTACGAGGGCTGGCAGGTTCTGCTTCTTTTGTCTCAGGAGCTAGCCTCTGGGTGAGACAACCAACTACCCCTTAGTCACTAAGGTGCAACAAAAACCAATCATACCCCACTAGAGAGGACTAGTGGAAGAGCACAGAGACACCTGACACATCTTAGACCTTTCCGTCCACTCCAGCCACTGGCTGAACATAACGAATGAGTTACCCCACCTGATACTACATGCAGCAGAAGAATCATCCAGCTGAGCCCAGTTAACCCACAGACTTGTGGAAAGGAAAACCTTTATTGTTTTAGCCTCTAAGTTTTGGGGTGGTTTTTAATACTCCAGAGAACCAAAATTTGAACAGGGAACATGAAATCAACAAAGAATTCTCATCAGAAGTATACACCAAACTTTTTAAAATTAATAAGAGAACCATAAACAGTTCAATCAGAAAATGATCCAAAAGAAGAATAGATATTTCACAGAAGAGGCAATAAATATTTGGAGATATGTTTACCATGAGCATCATTAGGACTTCAGGCGACCACAGTGCAATACTATTTTATACCCATTCATCAGGCCCACATTTAAAGTTTGGTGATATGCATATTAGAAAGTTCATAGTAGGAAACTAACTGGTATGAAAACTTTGGGAAATTTTTTGGTATTACTCCTAACATCAAAAATTCACAACTTCCTGAATGCAGAAATTCAACCCACAATTTCACAACCCCCCAAACAAATTCTTGCACATGTTTATCAGCATCATCTTCAAGAATATTCATAGCAAAAAAAAAAAAAGAATATTCATAGCAGCACTGTTCACAGAAGCAAAATTCTAGGACTAACTAACTGTTCAGCTACAGGAGAGTATCTGAATAGACAGTGGCATATTCACACAATGAGTTAATATATGAACAATAATAAATAAATAAATAATGAAACAATATGAAATAATATATATGGATCTTAGCAATAACTTAAGTGAAAAAGAGCATAGTATACTTTTTATAAAGATAAAAGCAACCAAAACGAAAAGTACTTACATTTAAAGAAATACTTACAAATATGATTTTTTGAACTATTTAAAAAGAAAGCAAAGGAATGATTAAATATTCGCGATTATAAGAAGGAGAGAATGGGGGGAATTTTATATTCTTAGGCATAGGTTAACATCAAGGCTCTGGTTTTGGTTTTGGTAGTGGTTCATGGATGCTTATTGTACTATGTAAAAGACACACCCATGTATACGAGCAGGCTATGCAAAAACCAACAGTAGGAGCATGTCATAACCTGAGAGCTATGACATTCTTAATCCAATTCTGCACCTGAGACCCAATGGTTTTTTAAATAGCCATAAATAAATAAAAGCAGGACAAAACTGACAGAAGTTGAAGAGGAGAAGGGAAGAGAGAGAGAACAATTATTCATCCAACCATGCAACAAATCTGCTCTGATCATCTAATCTGTACCAGAAACTATTCAACACGAAAAGATAAACAGGACAAGGACTGGAATCACGCTGAGGATATTGTTAGTCCAGTTATATAAGAAGTAGAAAATGTAATGGGATGCAGAGTTACGAAAAATTGTGCTGTAAATGGATAATTATGAATGTAATGCTCTCCACTATTGTCATCTATGTAATAAATTAAAAAAAGAAAAAGAAAAAAAAGAAAATGTAATGGGAGAGGGTAGAAAGGGGATAAGACTGTTCAAATAAACAACTAAACAGAGTTGAGCTCCAAAAGTGGTAGTCTCAGGGGTAAGTCATGTTTGTCCCTCAGGGAGTGACCTCCACTTTTTTAGAAGGATGGAAAAATATAGTCTCTTCTAGTTCATAACATTTTTAATGATTCTCCTTAACTAAAAGCCCTCTCTCATGCAATACTTTGCAACTGAATCCACAGTGCAAACACTGTATTGGTCTAAGAAAGTAGGCATTGATTATAACAGTTCCTTAAGGTAACTTCTGTTTTATTGCTTTAACATTGATTCATTTATCCAACTTATCCAAATTACCCACAATCTGGAGTGCATTGTATTTGATACTGGAGTAAAAACAAACACTAATAGTTGGATTGGCTGAGAGATGATTTGAGCCCCCACATTCCAAAAAAGGTATTTAAATTGACATAAACATGAGGGTATGGGCATGCAGGAGAGGTGGACCATATTAAACTTAATTTTCACAACCCTGTCTGGTTTCTATCAAAGTACACAAAACTTAATGATGAACAAACCAAGTCTCAAACAGGTGAAGTGTCTCAAGCCACACAGCTAGGACATGCTAGAACCAGGACCAGCCTTGGAATCTGGTGACATTACTTATGGTTCAAGACACTCCATCCTGGACACATTAGCCTGTAAGCTCCATCAAGGAGACCTGCCTTAGATTTGGATGGAGTGTGAGGCTGCCCTGGAATAGCCATATGATTTTCCGAATACCTGACCCACTCCCAGATGTGTAAAAAGAGACCCAGTTGAGGAAAGAACTTACCATCAAAACCAAAAATAGAGCCTTGATGACAATCGTTTAGATGCCCCCATAGCAGCCACAGAAATCCTGGCAAGATGAGTAATGAACCACACTCCTCCACCCACAGTCCCATTATGAACCACCACAGTCATGCTGCCATGAACCGCACTGCTAACCATCACTCACTAATGTTCTGGAAGCTACAGAGTCTCACATGCCCAAACTTAAGGCAGCAGGAGCCCTGAACTGGAGAACATTCTGTGTGCGCCAATGTCAAACGGAGATTGCTCCTTTGCAAAGATCCTGTTCAGAGCATCCTCCCTTCTGAGAAGTACCAAAGCACACAGGCTTGGTTACAGTGATTAAGACAAACATCTTGTAAATTTCCAGAATGTCTGAGTACAGTGAGGTGAGTGCCAACTGCACAGAACACAGAAAGCATCCAGCGCTGTACCTTCCACACAGGCTTTATGACACCAGGGGGTGGAGCATCCATATCTACCAGGGCCAAGTTCTTGGAGTTAGGGATTTGA